CAAACCTTGGGATCTCCCATGCTTACTTGAAACTTGTCTGGGCGTCACCTTCTTCCAAGTTCCCCCACCCGCACAGCCCACGGTCCACAGTCCCGCAGCCCAAGCGCTCGGCAGCATCTACGCAAGACACAGTACCTGTACATCATCACCACAATATTCCAGGTTCATCATCAGCATCAGCATCAGCATCAGCATCTACATTCGGACCTGCGTCAAGCCTCTCTGCAAGCCCCCGTTCGAGCACATGTCTACCGCCCCCATCGGAATCTTCCAGTCTTCTCCCAACAACCGTCAACTCCTCCAGCTTCCTCCGATTGACCTGGATCTCTCCTCTTTCCCGTCCTCCCGTATCCCGACCGTCTCATCCCATCCCATCCCGTCCCATCCAACTTCACGGATATCCACACCTCCAATTGCGCAGTCCACAATCCACATGCGCAGAACGGATACTCCGTAACACCGCCCATCCATCCATCCATCCACCTGCCTCAGACATCATAGGTAGCTGCTACCTTGCCCCATACCTACCTCAGATCAGCATCTCCACGTTGTCGCCCATCTCACTTTGCTGTCACTGCGCCTTCCCATCTGCCGTACTCTGCGTACCGCGCACTCCCGCCTTCCTATCCGAACAAACACCCGCTGTCCCCGTCACTTTGGTCCAGTTTGCCTTCGAATACCTACAGCACCAACTTCCAGTCTTCCTCTGTTGGCACTGAGGCCCCCACGAACCAGTTCTGTGCACGACGCCTCTTCCCTGTTCTGACGTCCAATCTCGACCTCCTCGTCCTTCAATCCCCCTTCAATGGCACTGTTCTAACCAGCCGCCCGTCTTCCTTCTTGAGCACTTCCTCTTTTACTTCTTCTTCCGTCATTCCTTACCTTTCTTCTTCCTCCAATTCATTCCGTTTCACTCGGTCGGCTTTCTTCTTCCTTGTAATCTCTCGTGTTCCAACTGTCCATAGAGCTTCGCACCGTTGGGCCCTTCGAATCCCCGACAACCACCTCGAATCGTGTCTCGCGATTTTCAACTGCAGCACCCGACCGACCAACAACCAAGCCCCTGCTCTCCGCGCCTCGAGCACCCCTTTACCCTCTTCTCGATCGCGGTCTTGCGCTGCCGCTCGCCTGTTGAATAGGCCTGGCTGAGCCGGCCGCCAGGCCTCCTTCATCCGATATCCGAACTACCCTTCCACTCGAGTCCATCGTCCATCCCCCCCGGGACCGACTTGCGACGATACCCTACCTCACTACTCCATCCCACGACCCCGCGACCACTTTACACCATGGTGAAGCTCATTCCACCATCGTTTCCGCCCCGGCGGCCTTCGAGCTTCCTCCGCTACGCCGCCGCCGTCATCTTTTTCGTGGCTCTCTTCTACTACTTCGACCCGCGATACCCAAGAGAACCTCTGACACAGCTTCAACCAGAGAAGCCGAAGCAACCCCCGCAAACACCAGACCCGGTGGCTCCGGCACAGGTTGAGGATGTCACAAAGCCGACGGCTCAGGCCGAGACGACACCGATACCTCCGAAAGCCGATCAAGCATCGTCGGGAGCTAAACCCCCCTCAGCGGGCAATACCAAGGTTGAAGGCGGTGTCGATCCGTCAAAAGGACATCCCATAGATGCCTTGATCAAAGAGGCCGACGAAACGTTTGATAAGTTGTTGGAGAAGGAGACCAAGACGCTGCCCGCCGCGGCCAAGGCCTACCGCGAGCGACGTGGTCGCCACCCTCCCCCGGGCTTTGACGCATGGTTTCAATTCGCCCAGGACCGCAAGGCTGTCATTGTGGAGGACTTTTTTGACCAGATCTACCATGATCTAAAACCGTTCTGGGGCCTCGAACCATCACGCATCCGAAAAGAGGCGGCTGAATGGGAGATGGTGATCAAGGTGCGCAAGGGACGAGCCACCCGTATCAGCGACTGGTTCTGGACCATTCACTGGACAAACATGCTCAAGACCATTGAGCACCTGCTACCCGACATGGACATCGCCCTGAATCCGATGGACGAGCCGCGCATGGTGGTGCCGTTTGAGGATATGGAGCAGCATTTGAGGGACGCTGCCCTGACGGAAGGGATGCCCGAACCGAAAAAGGTTATGAACACATTCCAGGCCCTGCCTAGTAGCAAAAAGGAGCTCGACCGCAACGTCAAGGTCAAGAGCAAGCACTGGGATAAAGTCACGAGTATGTGCCCTACCACCTTTTCTTCTACCCCACCCACCTACATACTCCTTTTCATGGGACGAACAACACCCGAATACTAACATCCGTCTGCAGAACAATACTGGCTCATTGCCCGCCGTGGGTGCCCTCCCGACAGCCCTGCTCGACTGGCAAAGACGCAAAGGACCTTTAACCATGCCCCCGCCGTTTCGACAAAGTATGCCAAGCCGCATATGCGCGACGGTTTTGTTTCCAACTACACTCTCTCGACCCATATCTGTCACCAACCCGACCTGCAAGGCCTCAATGGCATCTTCATTGAGCCCCTAAGCACAGCTGCCACGCCTGTGCTGTTTCCAATGTTTGGCGGTTCCAAGCTGGCCGTCAACAATGAGATCCTGCTTCCTGCAGCCATGTACTGGACAGAGGAAGAACGGTTCAGTGGCGGTGGGTACCATGGGGGCCGCTGGAACAAGAAGAAGGACGCGGTGCTCTGGCGCGGCGTCGCAACGGGTGGGCGCAACCGCGTGGATAACTGGCAAGGGTTCCAGCGCCACCGGTTCGTGGCCATGAACAACGCGACCAAGGTCACGGGCGCCGAAGACGGCACGATGGACCCGATCAACTTTTCCCTGCCCGACAAGATGTATAATATTGCAGCGCAGGCGGTGGGCGGGCTGGGCGACTGGATCAAGTCGTGGGCCAATGTCGGGTTTACGGATCTCATGTGCGAGCCCGAGGGCAAGGCCGGAACGTGCAACTACACGAGCCCCTATTTCAACATCACCGAGGGGGTTATGCTCTCCGAGATGTACGACAACAAGTACCTCCCCGACGTTGACGGCAATAGCTTTTCAGGCCGGTACCTCGCGTTCCTGGGCAGCACGAGTCTCCCCATCAAGTCGACGCTTTGGCGGGAATGGCACGACAGCCGTCTCGTTGCATGGAAACACTTTGTGCCGATGGACACGCGGTATAATGAATATTACGGCATCATGGAATACTTTTTGGGATATGGTGACGAGAGGCCAGGCCACGACGCCGAAGCGGAGAAGATTGCCATGGCGGGCAAGGCGTGGGCCGAGAAGGCGCTGCGTAAGGAAGACATGCAGATTTACACTCTGCGGTTGCTTCTCGAGTACGCGCGCGTTACGGACGAGAGAAGAGAGAGGATGGGCTGGGTGCATGACTTGCTGGCGGAGCAGACATCCAGTTGAGAGAGCGCGAGGAGGCAGAAAGGATTGTTGTTTCGTCGCATGGATACCACACCGCGGAATACGGGAAATCAAAAAGGGCATGGCGTTATTTTATCTCTATTATAGTGTTCTGGTCCGTCTCTTTGGGGAGTTTTTGGTGTAACTCGCAAGGGCCCCTACTTGTCAGCCTTTTTATGGGTGTTTTGAGACTTTTGTCTACGGATCCTACCAGAACCGACTCCCTCGAACGGGAGAATGAGGAAGTATGAAATCGGCATCATTCTAGGTATTGATATATAACATAGGTCATGTATGCTGCATGGCAACTAGTACATACCACTGCCAGGTTTAGCGGCGCATCAAAGTGCCATGTGCATGTGAATGTGAGGGTGGTATTGCATGTTGTGAAAGTGTCGGACGTCGGTTCCGGATCTAAGTTCTACATGACGTGGAAAAGGAATGGCTCGGTCTTCGGAAGGCAATCCCGCAGACCGGAGACGACGTCTGCCGCCTGTTGCCGTTCGTAGGCGAGCTGCACAAGGAGTTATGGAGTAATGATATCTTGAATCTTATCCTTCAGCCGTCGACAGCCCAACCAACTGGTCCGTGTACAGCAGAATAAAGTCATTTGATCACTTTCACGAGACACATGGCGGGAGGATTGGAGACGCGGCTACGAGTCATAATCAAGTCCAACCCGCCAATGTATACGTTTAGGGTGCAGACGATTACGCGATGATAAGGCAATTTCGAGACGAGAGAATGCGCCTCTTTTACGTAAAGCCAGGGAGCGTCCTTGCTTCGAGGGCCTTGAGCAGGTGAGGGGTATAATCGGGAGAGACAATGGAAGCAAGCGGACGAGAGAGTTCTTGTGCTACCTACTCAAGCGCGGGAGCTAGCGGGTGACAAGTGACAGCGTGTTTGCGTAGAGAGTTGAACCCATTTTCAGTCTTCCGAAGGATGTAGCTATATCTGGGAATCGTGGACGAGGTAGGTTGAACAGGCAGGCAGGCAGGCGGGTGGGCTAGGCCCCGGATAATGGAAGATGGGAAGGACGTCATGCGGCCACCCCTGGAACTGATTGATAACAAGAAATGTGGAAAAGACAAGGTAGTCAAATGGGCGTCGAGAATCTGAGGTGAGAAGATGGGAGTCGAGGGATGCCGGCCCGGGCATGAGTCGCTGAGGTTTTCAGTGTGAGATGAGAATCGAGATGCTGCAGCAGCGGTGCGGGTCCGTGATGGGCAGGGCCCTGCTGCCCTGATGGGTGACTCGTGGGAGGAGGGGAGGGCCTCAAACCGCAGTAGCACAACTGTGACCTCGGGTCTAGCACACATTGTACGTAATTGAATGTACTCTGGGTGTATCAGACTCGGGAGGACACTTCACGGCCAGATAAGAGGAACGTCTGATAAGAGACAAGACCAATCGATAAGGCAAGAAAGGTGCGAACCTCGGAAAACCGACACCTGGCTCTCTTTTGGTTGTACTGAAGATAAGGTACCTTACCTCACTACACCTTTGTAAGGGAGGTAAGGCAGGTAAAGTCAGGTAGGAGAAAAGAGAACATAATGGAGGGAAGATGATGGCAGTCCGGATACCTTCGATTCCTATGCCTTGGAACGGGTGATGGTGGTGGTGGTGGTGGTCCGCATCACCCCCTCTTTCTCAACAAAAAAAGAGCATAGAAGAAAGGAGAAAAAAACTCTTTCTTCTCTTCTCTCTCCCGTATTCCGAAAAGGCCGAGCTTCCGTCCGTGGTTTTCTTGGTTGTGTGAGTGTCGGGTGTGAGATTGTCATGCGCCTTCGCGTCGCCCTGCCATTAGGGAACATCACCAAGTCCCGGAGGCGGTGATATTGGTGAAGTGGACAGCGGACGTGGGCGACGGGCCTCTTTAAATAATGCCTCGCGCGTTTTCCCGCCGGGTCACCTGCCGTTAAGTGGCACACCTCCGGGCGCGCCAGACCCCTAAGTGCAGGTGCTCCAGCGGTGGTCCAGCGGGCCCCAGCGATGTGCGGCGGGGGTCTGCCCCTTGCGGCCCTCTGGCTCCCTTCTCTTGCGGCGCTACGCCCGCCGACCGTGGGCCCCATAACTGTCCGGGGCTCCACTGATGTTCCCCTAAGTGCAGGTCTACCCGTGGTGGGGATGTTCGGGGGTGGACCGTCGACCTTGGTGGAGGGGCCCAAGGGGAGGTTCAGGGGTCCGCAGCCTGGAACACGCTGGTGTCATTGCCGTCCTGTCGCCGTCGCCGTCGCCGTCGCCGGGTCTTCACTCTTCAGTACCCAAGGTGCGAGGTGTCTTGCATTCCTCACCTTTCCATTGTGTCCGGTAGCGTCACTTGCTTCGACACCACCCGTCTGTCCCACCTTCTACACAGCTACCTACGCAGTAGAAACCTTCCGTCTTTTCCACAATCCACCCCGTCCTCGTCCTTGTTCCCCCCTTGGCCAGGAATGCGCGCGAATGCTTCCTTTCCCATCAGCCCTAGGCGCGCTAGCCATCCCCATGACTGAGGCGGCCATGGTCATGGATGATGGCTGTACGGACCCAGGTACTTCGTGGCCCGGAGCCCTTGGTGTCGCCGGTGACGGAAAGGCTTTAAACATACCTTGATCGCCCGTCTTCTGCTGATTCAAGACTCTCTACATATAATACTCCCCAGCTTCTACCCTCCTCTTGACCTCTCCCCCTTCTCTTCCTCGTCTTCTTCTTCTTCACTTGAATCTCTTACCTCGATTACCCGCACATATCTTGTCACTGAACCAAGGTCAGCGCCACCATCGTCAACTCTCACCTACCACCACATTCCCCTCCTCTTCCACCACCCGTAATCACAAAGTTCGCACCCTCGGCGCATCGCAACCATGGTCCAGAACACATCAATGGTCACCTCCAAGTTCCTGAGCAACCCCGAGGACCTCGGCGTCGTTGCCGTTGGCTTCTCTGGCGGACAGGTAAGCATCGCCAATAGCCTGCCCTCCCAAGGCAACATAGAAATCTGACCCTCGCCCGCCTGCAGTGCAAGAAAGGCGTCGACGCCGCCCCCAAGGCCCTCATCGAGTCCGGCCTGCTCACCCAGCTCCGCGACGAGCTGGGCTACAAGCTCCACGGCGACGATGAGGTGCACCTCTACACCGACCTCGTACCCGCAGACGACCCTCCCTTCCGCAACATGAAGAACCCCAAGGCCGTGTCCTCCGTCACCGAGCGCATCGCCGACCAGGTCTACCAGCAGTCGCGCCTCGGCCGCCTGACCCTGACCCTCGGCGGTGACCACAGCATTGCCATTGGCACCATTGCCGGCTCTGCGAAGGCCACCCGCGAGAGACTCGGCCGCGAGATTGCCGTCATCTGGGTCGATGCGCACGCCGACATCAACACCCCTGAGACGAGCGACAGCGGCAACGTCCACGGCATGCCGGTGGCTTTCGTCACGGGCTTGGCCAAGGAGTCAAGACCAGAATACTTTGGCTGGCTCAAGGATGAGCACATGCTAAGCATCAAGAAGCTGGTGTATATTGGTCTGCGCGACGTGGACGCAGGCGAGAAGAGGATTCTGCGCGAGAATGGCATCAAGGCGTTCAGCATGTTTGACATTGACAGGTAGGTCTCTCCTCTTCTCTTTCATTCCGCATGGCATGGCCATGATAGACTTTTGACCGTTATGACTAACATCGTTTTCTTTTTAGATATGGCATCGGACGCGTCATGGAGATGGCGCTGGCGCACATTGGCAACGATACCCCCATTCACTTGTCATTTGACGTTGACGCTCTGGACCCCATGTGGGCGCCGTCAACGGGTACCCCGGTCCGCGGCGGTCTCACATTGAGAGAAGGTGACTACATTTGCGAGTGTGTGCACGAGACTGGCAGCCTTGTCGCGCTGGACCTGGTCGAGGTGAACCCGTCACTCGCGGCCGAGCAGGAGGGCGCGGCGTCCGAGACGGTAAGAGCTGGCTGCTCGCTGGTGCGTTGCGCTCTGGGAGAGTCATTGCTCTAAGTTGGTAGCTTGAGCGTGCGCGGGACAGAAGGGAAAGGATGCGGTCACAAGGGATTCTCGACTTCTGGCAGAATCTTGGCCGCTGACGGAGAACGGCGAGGGCTGCCTATCTATGGTTGTGGGAACACAGGGAAGCTTAAACGGTACACGGAGGCAAAGTGAATTTGGCGTATAGCGCAATAGAAGACAGAACAAGTGAGGTGGCTAGGGAAACTTGGACGGAGTCAGACACGGGGTTGAGGTAGATATATACCAACGAATAGATTTATGAGCCGACCTTTCGTTGTCATGATTGATGCTAGGCAAGGTACCTTGGTACGAGGTCCCTTTGGTTACTCCGTAAACCAGCGATTATTCAAACGTATCCGAACTTTGCAGCGCACTCACGTGGCTCAATTCCAAGGTCTCTACGACAACATAAAGTTCGATTGGGCATAAAGACATGAGAAATGGAAGGCTGAAGTCGTGAGGCGGTTCGGGTGCATACTGGAGTCTTTGAGCCTCGGAAACCGGGGGCGTGAGTGGCTGGCAGGGACAGCAGGTCCAACGCGGCCTCAGAGGACCCCACTTTCCTGCTTGCTCACCGATGGGATGTGTCGGTACCTTACCTGCTTACCTAAGGCAGAGGAAGGGACGGAGTCGGGATGCCTTCCATTCGCCCAGCCATCGCCATTTCCAAAGGGAAGGAGAGATCAATTAATGTACGGTGTATTTTGACTAAGGCAAGGTACCTATTCCCTATTCGTAGATGAGAGAAGGAAGCTGGCTCGCCCCCAGTCACAATTTTCAAATCTACAACATACATACATTTCATAGACAATTTCTCGAATCGCAGTACATAATCTTCCCCGTCTAACCATAAGGTAGCTACGGCGTAAATACGACATACTTTGGTTTGACGTGGCACCCTCCAAAACAGCCGCCGCGCCAACACCAGGGCAACCCACACCATCCATTCGATCCGTACGCCTACCTTACCTTGCCTTGGGTACTGTGCAGGAGTCAGGCCGACTTCTACCTGATTGCGAGGCTCTCGAAAACCGTTTCTGCTACCAACCCTGCCCCTCTTATAAGACGAACTCTTTGGCACCCGACGAGACGAACCGAGCCCACCTTTTCGCTCGACGCAGGATACCTAATCGACGCGATTGCCGCACGCGCATTGGCGATAGCCTCCTACCCAGCCTCGCCGAACGAACAGGACCCGGAAATTCGGTACCCAACGTTACCCATTGCGCTACTCGCCCCCCCCTCATCCCAGCGAAACCCCAAATCCATCGGAAGACCGAGAGTATCGAGCACGATCGATTAAATACCTATATTAGAGACACCTCTCCGTGCCCCATTCCGAATCTCAGCGACAGTCGGAATACCTAGGCGACGCGATCCCACTTGACCAATACCAACTCATCGTCAACGAACCGAGCTGTAAATAGCAAATATAGGCACAATGGTGGCGTCAACACTGACGGGCAGCTCCCTCTACGAGAGGCGCGTTGTCGAGCGCGTCCACCGCTACCAATGGCCCGGCATTCAGCTCAACCTCTGGATCCTCGTCATGCTTGTGGCCGCCTGCCTCATCATCGGCGTTTTTGCGTCCTTTATCGAGACGCAGCAGCAACTGCTTCTGCCCATACCCTGGTGCGTGATTCACACTGCTATCTCTGCCTCACCCTCGCATTCCGTCAAGTTGCCATATGCGCCTGGCCAAATGGCATGCCACGCTCAACGACTACGCAGAAAGACGAGGGTTCCCGGCCAAGAGATGAACTCCGCGAGACGATGCCAATGCTAACATGATGAACCATCTTCCTTCCGCGACAGGTACTTTCCCTACTACATCACCGTCGCATGCCTCGTAATCCTCTTCATCGGCCTCCTCCTCTGGCTAGTCTTCCAGCGTCGTCTCCTCCCAGCCATTGTTATGATCGGCGCCTTCATCCTCTTCATACTATGGTTCGTCGGTCTTGTTGTCGTGAGCATTCAGCTCTGGGGACCCGACGGGTCCGTCTCTAGCACGTGTAACCTCGCCGTGTTTAACCGGAGCCCGACGGGGCAGAGTCTAGACACCCTCGCTTGGCTGGAACAGAGGAGTATATGTGCGTTCTCTCCTTTCCCCTACTCGCTCTTTTCTTGGTGTGATGCCTATTTGTTTCTTCGTAGATTTCGAGAAGAGACTTTGTGAACGGGAGGAATGCTAATATTCGGGACCGTGATGTAGGCCAAGCGTGGCAGGCGGTGTTTTCATTTGCGCTGGTTGGTGCCATCTTCCTGCTTTGGATCATGGTCATGGCCTACCAAGTGTTTGCCAGCTCGTGATGAATATGGGCTGAGACACGACTGTCCCGGGAATTATCATTCTCGTTTGGACGTGTGGCTGCGTAGTGTCGACGATGAAGCCTCGGGTTGCGCCTAGGCCGCAACGTTTATATTTTGACTGTATACCATTGCATGAGGAATATCCGACATACTCAACCATTTTCTGGTATAATCTTTTCGGCATAGTCCGACACAACTCGACACATATACGGAAACATAAACGGTATCCAGCTTCGACAGTCTTATCGGCCGGCATGTACATACCGCCAGTTTTGCTACAAGAGACGAATTTACGAGTATGATCTGGTGGATTTAATGATTAGAATCGCCGTCGGAGGAAGGTTGTCGTTCTCTTCCTTGGTTTTGGGCAATTGCACATATAGGCGTCTGGTGATTTTGGACGGAGGTTTCGCACGAGCTATTGTTTGGCGACCGGACTGCATGATTGCGTAGCGAAGGTGCACGAAGATGAGTGAAACGAATGCTGTCCAGAAATGACGAATTGGCAGTTATGGATAGTCAAATGAGGTAGCGCAAGCAAGCACGGCAAGGCAAGGTTGGATGGAATGACAACAGTATATTCTGCATTGCATTGTAACCGGACCATGCATGCATTCAAGTCGTCGTGTGCTCTTAGACTGGATTCGACTCAGTTCACCCATGGAGCGATCTTGTATGGAGTACATGCTTCCCGTCTGCATTCGTCAACGGAAGCCAAGTATTCAGGTACATACTTGCTTGCATGTACCTGATCCGGTCCCCATAGTCCGAGACCAGCTTTGTTTAAGATCAACTGCATTTCGTCACTGAGATCGTCGTCACATGATGAATCTGTTGCGAGTGAACGTGGGGAGGTACCTACCTCCCACAGTAGAGGGTTCGCATAGGTACACGCGTAGCTTTGACGGGAGCGGCTCTTGTTGGCGAATCGAGGCCTAGGCCCCCATGTTGATCTGACATGACGTAGCCAGCCGGCGGGGATACTGGTACCTACACTACAGAGGTTCGGATTGAACCTCGAGACCTTTCACGCGCATTCATCTCGAGTGCCCTGAGCAAGTGCGTGCGTTGGTTTGCCGTTCAGCCGGGCAGGCACCTTGGAAATGTCAGACAGACAAGGGTACCTTAGCTCGAGAGATAGACTCGATTTTCAGCCTGCCAAGCATCTTGGACTAGCATTCTCTCGGGAGGAAACAAGCCATGATGGCAGGAACAACCAACGGGTGAGGACCCTGAACCTGCTTGGCATTCTGACTGGGTTGACATGACGGGGGAAAGACAACTACAGATTGTGATAAGGTGCCTACCTAGATGAGCAGACTCTCAACATCCGGTTTCTCTTGAACGACGGGTCGAGAGTGCATAAGGTCGCGGTACCTTGCAGTCTTACCTTTGGAACTGCCGGCGAATGACGTAGGCAGGCAGTTAGCTATCTGACTTTGCTCAGATAGGTCAGAAACGGGAGTTGGAACTGGGAATCTGCGCTGTGTGGCTGCCAACTTGGGGGCGAGGGCATGGATTAGGTCATTGGACCCACGGGGACGCGGGCGAGAACTGGAAATGTCTGACGCTAATGGGGGAAAGCGGGGGAGGGGTCCTTCCTCTACCAAGTCCCTACCTCATGCCGCTCTGGTTGCCTCCCAAGCTCGAAGGTGAAGAACAGGATGGGAAAGGTAGGTTCCGTTGGCTGGGCTGATGGAAGGAGACTGGATGTATAAAGTGCCCAAGCATTCCTCTCACTCGTTCTGAATTTGATTGACTTTTACATACACCCACAAGCTACTCATACAAAACCGCTCTCCAACAAGTACCACTATTGAACCACTTTCCACCACCACATAAGCTACAAACCACAACTATCAACATGGACAAGCTCAAGAACCTCGCCTCCGGAAGCTCCGGCAACACTGCCGCTGCCCCAGGCCAGCAGAAGCAGGATCCTGTCGATAAGAGTAAGTTTAGATACTCGCCATTCCCACAATGGTTCGAATTCCTCTGACATACTTATAGTCTTCGACGCTGGCTCCAAGAAGGCTGGACACGACTTCTCTCCCAGCACGGACGAGAAGATCACCGATGCTGGTCGCGGAATCTACGAGAAGGTGACCGGAAAGAAGGTCAACCCTAAGATTTCCAACTAAATGTACAACATATGTTTTGGTCACGACTCTTTCACGACAATGGGACGATTGCGGCTATGATATCTTGCCTCCCATATAGCTTTTAATGAACTACATTACCATTATGCCGTTGCTCTATTATGTGAGCTGGTGGAACTCACCATAGCCGCAAATTTCATGAATCCGTAAATGTACCTCCACTAGTATACGTATATTTGCATTCATTGTATGGACATAGTGTTTGCCACCCTCACTGTAACAGCCCAACTACAATAGAAGCAGCGGACAGGACGATAAACAGCTATAGCTGTTAGCTATGAAAGTGGATTTTAATCCAACTCAGGACATCAATTCCGATGGAGACCATTTTCAATGTCACAGTAACTACCTGAATGCCATAAAACCGCCCAAATCTAGTTTGATCTTGGTGCAGGGGAGCAATCACAGCAGCGACCTGACCAAATGAGAATGTGCATGCCGTGACTGGAAACAGCTATTGTTGACCTTCGAAGCTTTGGAGATGGTCTGGACCTTCTCGTCACCTTAGGTAAGCACTCGCTACCTAGCCGCCTTACGTGAGGTTGCCAGCGGGGCAGGTATGGCGGGATGTGAAGACCACAGGTACGCCGTAAGGTAGGTACCTAAGGTAGGGGGTCCGGACGGGAGCATTGGAGGCACCCGACCCCCATGTGAGGTGGACCGGGACTGTACCTAATCTGCTGGTGGGTGCCCTGCTGATAAGGTCTCTCTAAGCACCTAAGGTAAGGTAAGGTACGTGCCTACCAACCAGTCCGCCTATGTTTTTGTTTGTATTCATTTTCGCGGATCAACAGCCCGTTCTTCACACGTTTCTTAGCATCCCCTCTAGAGGTGCAGATCTAGCTTCGATTGAGAAGCAACTCTAGGATTTTGTATCGTCCCGGCGTGCATCTAGGTACAGCCCATCACGCCTTGCAGCATCAGCCAACACGTTCATCACTGCAAAACTTCGTGTGTACGAGGAAGCACGTAGGGTAGAAATTTTTGCTGGTGCTTCTATTCCTTGTTGGTGGTTGCGGTACCTTGGGAAAAAGGGTGGAAGGAACACCACCAAATACCTAGGTACGTGCTTTCCTTCATGATAAGGTAAGGTACATCGGCGTCCTGCATGCGCGTGCGCGCCAGCATCCAATCCTCGACGCCCATCTCCTGCCAACGCACATGTTTTGTGCGACACGTTGACTTCGCCATTGTTGCTATCGCTCCGTCCCGATGCCACCACAGACTCGCGACTGACAAGGAGGGAGAAACTCTGACACTTCTTAGCTCAATCGGTTTATGTTACCTCCAGGTACCTAGTTGCTTTTCTCATCCCTCACCGATCATTCATCACCAGCGCATCTTCTCCTTCGAAACGCCCTTTCAGCGCCCACCATTCCCCGGCTCGAGCCCCCCTCCCGAAACCGCCAATCATTCCCTCGAGGACCAACGACGGGCGAGACAAAGAAAAATCCACGTCCCCAGCCAGCCGAATGCATCCCCCCAATCGCCTAGCCAATTCCCACCATGGAACGTGATGAGACCCATCACGACGACTCCCGTCCTACTACTGCCCGTCGGGTTGACGACGACGGTGATGATGACACATCGCGGCTCAATCATTCAGGAAGCGCTACTGTTGACGAGTCGCAAAACACGCCGACCAAACCCCCTCCTGACGAACAACCTCACAACAACGAACTAGGTCGCCGTACCCCGTCCAGCTCCCGTACCAATATCGAACATCAAAACGAATCTATGCTCCCTCCACCGCGACCCCAGACCTCCGCCGTACCGGACACCAGCTTTGTCGAGGGCCCTACCTTTGACGACTCCTACCATGGCGATTCTTTGGCTGAATCAGCTGTTCGCGCACATCTCCAGGACGTTGAATCAAGCTTCGTCTCTCGTGTATCCCCGATCCCCACAATAACCCACGAGGGCACCGACGACACTTACCTCTTCGATGGCGCGGCCGCTTCTTCGAGATCCCCTGCCCCAGCCAGACAACCCCCTGCGAGCCCCAGCCCCAGTCCAAGGCCGAGATTCGATGCGACCCCTGAGGAAGACTCGGCCATCCACAACCTTCCCGAACTGCGACCGCAAGACTCGGCCTCTGCCGACGTCTCCAATACAACTTCTGCCCTGGAAACTATGTCCTCCTCGCCCGCCGCCGCCGCCGCCGCGCGAACAATTTCCAGGGCCCTTTCCAGCGCCAGCAATCGGACCGACAAGCAATCGGAGGAACCCGCTCCGGCTGACGACACCGAGGATGAACAATCTCTATCTCGTGCGGAATCTGCTGCCGAATCTGTGTCAACGACTCTCCGAAGCAAGCGCTCCGACGGCAGCCTTCAAGGTGGCTCTGTGGATGCCGGCAGTACACCTGGTCATTCTCTCCGCTACGGCACGCGGCCAAAGTATCTGCGTAGCCGGGGCGCCAGCCAGCGATCCTCCGTCTCCTCTTTCATCACCAACCCCGATACCCACGATGAACTTGAGAGCGAAGGCACTGCGAATCTTGGCGCCGATTTCGCCCTGCAATCTGGAGGTGCAGCTGGCACGCTGAGCTTACCCCGCAGTCTCAGCAGCATCCTGTCGCGCTCCGTGAGCATCGGCAGCATGGCCTCGGGTTTGGACGAGCCCGAATCGCTACCTAGTCAGCTTGAGACACTTGAAGAGGACGACAACCGGTTCTCGCCACGCCGATCAGCCCGAAACGAAGATCTCCTGGCTACCCCGAAACCCTCCAAGGAGAATCTAACTGCGCCCACCGATACTGTCATCGCCCGGCATGTTAGAAATGTGCAGGTCCCTGAGTCGTTGGCCATGGAGTACAGGACTAAGAGTGGCTTTGTGACGCCCCGCAAGCCCTCAGACATGCCGCTTGGCGCCTCCACGAGGTCGGGTAAGAACCTGACACTCAAGGAGCAGAGCAGCACCATTGAGCGTCTGTCCAAAGAGAACTTTGACCTCAAGCTGAAGGTCATGTTCCTCAGCGATCGCCTTGACAAGCTATCCGAAGAGGGTGTTAAGGAGATGATCTCGGAAAACGTGGAACTCAAGACGAGCCTCGCCGTCATCCAGCGTGATAACAAGGCCTTGCGAAGGCGGGTCAAGGAGTTGGAGAAGCAGTTGAAAGACGACCAGGACCGCCCCGGAACAGCAAAGAGTGGTGGATCGTCTAATGACACCTCCTCCAACCTGGATGCTCAGGAACGTGAGGAGGAGTTGACATACCTGCGCGAGCGCGTCGAAGAATACATCACTGAGATTGAGAGGCTTCGGAACGATAACATGTCAAAGGAGGCAGAAAAGCGTAAGCTCAGTGAGGTGGTCAGGTCGCTAGGCGAGAGAACCAGCGGCAATCTTGGCAGTCAGGAAGAGGCCGACGTATGGAAGGACCTTCTCGAGCAGGAGACGGCTCGACGCGAGCAGTCCGACGAGGACAACCGTAAGCTGCGTGACGAGATCTTCCGCATGAAACAGGAAGCCAGTGGCGGCCACGGTGGCATGCACCACACCACCAACATTTACAACATCACCAAGAAGCACAGACAAGTCTCTCCAAGTCGCCCCGTGTCTGGTCTATCCGGTGATCTTGAAACGAATGGTGGCTTTAGTGCGGCAAGTACGTTGGTGGATGAACTCAGGAGAGAAAGTGAGCAACTACGACACGAAAACGCCGAGCTGAGGCGCGAGGTAGGAGCGCAGACATCCATGCTCACGTCGAGGAACCGTGAAAAGGAGCGATTATATCAGGAGATTGAGGATCTGAAGATGGCGCAGCGGCGAGGAGGACCGGCACCATCCACGGTGGACTCCCTGCTCGAGCGTTCGGCATCTCGCGCCGGCGCCCACCACCGGTCGATGTCAAGAGTCAGCGCCAGTAGGACGCAAATGACAGAGATCGATGAGCTGGAGCGCGAAGAGTTGGAGAACAAACTCGCCGAAACGCGCGACAAGATTAGCGAGATCAAATTACAGAACCAAGAGCTTCAACGGGAGCTCGAGGGATGCATGGCAGACTTTGAGACAGCAGTCGAAGGTAAGGGCCAAGCTGAGGAAATCGCTGCCACACTCCAGGAAGATCTCGACAATGCCATGAACGACCTCGTGGCTTTGCAGGCCGAGAGGGACGAAGCGCTCAGGGAGCAGGCGGATATGGAGACGGAATTCGAATCGTTGCGGAAAGAAGCCCAGGAAGAAATTGATGCTTTGGAGGGCGAGGCCGACCAACGAAACGACGAGATACAAAGGCTGCAGTTTGAGCTCAATGACCGCACAGAAAACTTCGATGCCCTGCAGGAGGAAATGCGCAAGATGAGCGAAGCGCTACTGGGATTGGAGGACGAGACAGCAGCCAAGATTGGCAGGATCAAGCAACTAGAGCAAGAACTCGCAGAAGCCAACAAGGAGTCAGAGGAGCTCGAATCCAAGCTGCTCGAGTCCAACGACAAGGCTCAGCGGCTCAGCGTACAACAAGAATCCAGCCAGGGCGAAATTGCTTTCTTGCGTGAGGAGCAGGAAGGCGACAAGATCCGCATCGGCGATCTCGAGGCGGCTCTCGCTAATACCGAGCAGAGCTTGCGCGACGAACGCGACAGGATCAAGGAGCTAGAGCAGCGTCTTGTTACTGAGCGTCGCCAACACGAGATGGTTTCCAATCAGGAGAAGGAAGAGGTGACGCAGTTCGTCAACGAGCTCAACCGCGAGATGTCGGCGGCCAAAGACGAAGCCCGGAGGTTGCGTAAGAGTCTCACCTCTCGCGAAGTTGAGGCGACCGAATGGAAGGAGCGGCTCATGGAGTTGGAGAACAATCTTAGAGAGGCACTGGGCGATCTTAACGGGACACGATCCAGCCTTCTCAAGGTAGGCTAGGCAACAAGCCCCAGAAGAGACACAGGCACTAACAGACATAGTCGATTGCAAAACTTCAGCGCGAGTTGGAGAACACCGTTCGCGAGCTGGACACCACCAAGGCATCGCTCGTCGAGAAGGATCGTATCATCAAGCAACGCGACGCTTTGCTTGAGTCTCACGGCCTGGAGTCTCGCAAACTTGGGGGAGAGCTCGAAAAGGAGAGACAGGCGCACCGGACGACGAAGAACCAGTTCGAGACATTTCAGAAGACACACTTGCATGTGTCGAGAACTGTTAGCACACAGGACCTACGCATCTCGGAGCTCGAATCCTCGCGGACCCAGGACAAGAAGAAGATTTCGCATCTCGAAGCGACGTTCCGAGACCAGCTCACTGAGCGCAACAACTTGCTGCTTGTACTGTGGACCCGACTTTCGGCCCTTTGTGGCACTGACTGGGCGCACGACAATAGTCTCATCAATGGGCGTGCGCTGCCTTCTCTGGAGGCTGTGGCTACTATGCTGCCCGGCTTCAGCAAAAACTTGCTGGGCGCTATCAAGATGATCGAAACCATGGTTGGTGGGTTCTCGTCTCGCGTCAAGGGCGTGGAACGGGACTTATGGCGCGAGTATCAGAGCCTCGAGAACAACCTCGAGATCCGGACTAAGAAGCTGGAGCGGCTGGAGACGATTGTACGCAACAGCATAGCATCGGGATCCCTCGGGTCCTATGAGCAGGCTAGGATGGAGCGCCTCGAGGACGCCTACCGCCAACTCAAGGTTGAGAACGCAACACTACGAACCGCTCAGGACGTCAGGAGTCGGGCTGCCTATTCAGCAACCAACGACCCCAGCGCGGTTATCACTGAGCCCGGCAGTGGAAGCCCGTCGCCGTCCATTCCCACAGGACCGAGAGAGCGAGAGAGGAAGCCTCGCAAGGGCGAGAGAACGTCGACGATGACACGGAGCGTTTCCAGCCATACGGTGACGACGCCTGGGTCAACCAATCACAACCCTTTTGAAGCCACGTTGGCGGAGAGGGACCCAGCAGACAACCGGTGGATTTTCAAGCTCCGCGACCTCGAGAACAAGCTCAAGGCTGAGCGCGAAGGCCGCTCGCAGGACCGTAATGCGGCAAGACAGCGGCTGGGCGGACTCGAAACAGAAAACCGTGATTTAAGGACGGAGGTGAACCGCATACGCAGGGCCAACGGACAGTTGGGGGACAGCTGAAAAAGTAGAGTTGGCTGGGATTGCGTTGCGGAGGTTTCATTTGTATTCGCTCAACCTCTTGTACCAACAGCAGAGCCGGAATGTGTGGCTCAACGTCTCTTTTGTTTTTGTATTTCCGTTCTTCTCAGCATTTGTAATTTCAGCGGCGAACGGCCTTTGCTAGGGATCTGGAGGAGTTTTGCGGACAGGCCGCCTTTTGGGTACAACAGTCTAATACCGAAGCCTCTCTGTCTGGCGTTGTTTGTCAGCCTTGCCTTACAGAACACCATCATGTCATCTACATTACATCGCGCCTAGTTATAAGGTGTTGTGTGGCTGAGGGTCTGATTAAAAAACTGCAAAAAGATAAAGATCTCGAAGAAGAGTTCAACAGAGGCCAATGTTTGGCTTCTTGTGTGTGTCGGGGCTGCGGCTTCGGACTCGCCATGTAGCGTGGGGCTCCTCCGACTCTCCGCCCCAGTCCCGCACTGTTTGCGGGGTTCCCTCCGCCTTCACTTGCAAGTCTAGCCACCCACCTTAGCTTACTGGATGCGATTTCGAACTCCCGTTGGTCACGCGCAGAGAGCACAACGGGACGATGCATGTCATTCTGCACCTCCAAGACGGACTGGAGCGGGGCAGAGCGGGGCTCCCCATTGGTCTTGCTCGTTATAGATGTCCGCCTCGAACGCGGGGGATCCGGGGTGTGGTCGATGGATGGGAATGCAAGCTAATTACACGGTCTTTTTCTCGATTTATTAACTTGGTCTTGCGGCGTTGCCAAGTTCAGAAGGCCGACCACGTCGAGGTCGATACCACGACATGAGTGATGGCATTGGGCCTCCTCATCTGGTATAAGAGGCCAATCGGACCTGCTTTTGCTGATAATTCTCGAAGGCATCATCATCGGCGAGGTTGACGGGATTAATGTTTGACGAACAACACATTGACCCAAGTTTTAAGTGAGAGCACTTCTAGTTTTCTATACTTACATCATCTCTCAAACTGGGCAACTTCACCATACGAGATTCGCTACCTTGGTTCTTGCAAACTCATAAAGACCCCAATTCGAGACTCGTCCGGAAGAAGCCACTACGTCTACATCATCAACAGACCACCAAGATGTTCCGTCTCCACAGGCTGTCCCGGGGTCGGACACGCACCCCTCTCCGCCTTCCATCATCACAAATCCGAACAGTCATGATGGGCGCCGCAGCGCCAAAAAAGGAAGGCGATATCTCTTCCGTCTTCGTCTCTCTTTCGGGCGCCGCCCGTGAACCGCTCCCGGACCGCTTCCGTGTGCTTAAAGAGGACCTCATCGCGGGTCACGAGGATGCCGTCGCTGCGTCCTGGAACCGGCTCCTGCGTGCTTTGCGGGAGGAGAATCAAGTTATCCGGGAAAAGGGACCCGCCATCATCCCGAGCGTTGAATTCAAAGACCTGGAGGGCGATATTGAGAGGCTAAAGGGTGATATTCGCAAGCGTGGTGCCGCTGTCGTTCGTGGTGTCGTTGATGAGAAGGAGGCTAGAGGATACAAAGAGGAGGTTGAGGAATATGTCAGGAAGAACCCATCCACAAAAGGTAGGCTATCCACGCCTATGTCTATTTTCCCTGCAAATGATTTCATAACTGACCAACTCCTCATAAAAAAAAGCTTTCCCTGCAGACAACCCTCAAGTCTACGAGCTCTACTGGTCTCACCCGCAGATCAAAGCCCGCTCGCATCCCAATATGCTCAAAGTCCAGTCGACCCTCATGAGCTCCCTCTGGAACAAGTCCCCCTCGGCCGCCATCTCTCTGCAACCCCTGACCTACGCCGACCGCCTTCGCATCCGTCAGCCCGGCGACGCAACGTTCGCCCTCGGCCCACACATTGACGGCGGGTCTGTGGAGAGATGGGAACGCGAAGGGTACGGCAAGGCCGGGACCTACGATGCCGTCTTCCGAGGCGAATGGGAGAAGTACGACCCGTGGGACGTCAGCGCCCGCGTCGAAGCTGTGCAAGACTTGTACAATGGTGCCGGCGCATGTAGCATGTTCCGCATGTTCCAGGGCTGGCTGAGCCTGAGCAACTGTGGACCGAGGGAGGGGACCTTGTTGGTGAACCCGTTGGTGAAGCTCTCGACCGCCTACTTTCTCCTCCGGCCGTTTTTCCAGCCGCGCAAGGAAGTATCTGAGAGTGGCAGCGGGGTCGCCGCGGGAGAAGGCGAGGAGTTCTTGCGAGAGGAGAACTGGGCGTTTACGGGCGGCGAGGCAATGAGTAGCGAGCTACAAGGGGCAACACCGGGACACGGACAGGAGCTCAGTGAGGCGCTGCATCCGCATCTGCAACTTGATGGGACAATGGTTCATATCCCGCGCATCAAGCCTGGGGACTTTGTCGTTTGGCATGCGGACCAGATCCACGCCGTCGATAAGGTTCACCAGGGACAGGGAGACTCGAGTGTCATGTACATCCCTGTGTGTCCGGCGACGGATTTGAATGTCGGATACTTGGCGAGGCAGAGGGAGGCGTTTCTTGAAGGGCTGCCAGGGCCGGATTTCCCCGGCGGAAAGGGGGAGAGCGAACACGTGGGGCGGCCTGGAGAGGATGCCATCGAGGGGGTGGAGGCGAGGCGGGCGATGGGATTGGAAAAATTGGTCGGCGCTGGAGATGGGCATGGAGAGAGGGATTTGATCCAGAGGGCGAACAAAGTTCTGGGGGTTTGAAAACCAAAAGAAAAGGGGTATCTGATTTGGTAGAGGTCTTGGCTCAAGCATCAAGCTAATGGGAAGAAGTGAGCATACATGTTTGACCTATCACTTGAGCCGCCGCACACGAAGATGATGCTTCTTGTCTTTTCCCTAGACCTACCTATATGTCGTTTTTCTTCTTTTTCCTCCTCAGTATGAAGCCATAGTAATCAAACGCACTCTCCCCGCCAGAGAGGACATCCATGTCCATGTCCCAAAGATTATCGGCATTTAACAGCGGCCGCATGAAGTGAGGCTGTCTGTAAGTGATGTACAGAAACACCCCGTCGTCCTTGAGGGCTCGGTGGACCTCGCCGAGGTACTTGGCCGTGTTCTCACGAACGTCGACTGGAGGCGACCACGGACTCCCATGGATCATGGCGTCGAGGGTGCTCTTATCAAAAGCGATGTCGACAGACGCAGTCGGCGCGGCACCGGGCATGTCGCGGACGTCGGCCCATTTCCACTCGATGCCGGCCAAGTCAGCGTGTCGTTGTCTCATGAGGTCGACGACGACGGTGGAAAAGTCTAGGCAGAGCTGGTTCTTGTAACCGCGTGCCGAAAGGTCGGCGGGGATGGTCTGTGGTGGAAATGGTGAGTGGTGGATCTGGGCCAGAGGTCAAACGTGTGTGAGTGTTGAGTGACGAAGAAGTAAAGGTGGCAGCCAGGGTGAAACGTGAGGAAGTGTTAAACAGGGCGAGAAAGCAAAGTGACTTTGGTGGCGAGGGGCACAAGATACATACACTATCCCCGGATCCGAGGTGCATAATACGCGGGGAGGTGTCAGGGCGACGCTGGGAAAAGAGATGCTTCTCAAAGAACGGGTCGAGGGCTTCGAATGTGCGGAACCATTCGTGGGTCGGATGCGAGCCATCCGACTTGGTATAACGCTGATTCCAAAACTCGGGGGTGGCCAGAGCCTCAGCCTCCCTTAGTTCTGCCATACCTACGGTACCAGATGTTACGGAAAACCGAAAGATGATAAGATTGTATCACAGTAATCGGTGATGTGAGTTGACGGCGGTGAAGGAGACATATACAAGGTGTCGGAACGAGATGAGATGGCAGGTGTACCGTGAAAACCGCCGTTCAAACTTGCGCTAGCCCGTGCACTTGACACGTTAAGCCTCTCTCAGTACAAAAACTCACTAATCTCCGCCACATTTTCAGATCTTAATTCTCAATAGAGGCACGTATTAGCCAGAAGGTAAGTAAGACAACGGGAGCACGGGCTAGCGCAAGTTTGAACGGCGTGAGTTTCTACGGTATGCGTATGCAAGATAGTAAGGGTGTCAATGAAAGTAAGAGCGACTGGTGGTGTAAGTGAGGCCTGGGTGAGATGAAACAAGACACCAGACGAGTGAGCGAGAAGATGAGAGCTGGTCGCGTCGTCGAGGGGCCGAAAAAGATTGCGGCCCCGCGACGAGATGAGCGATGGTGGGGGCGGGGCACTGGCAAGCTCGAATTGAGGATTCTCATTGGTGAACGGCCACCTTAGCTAATCAGCACACATGTCCTTCGCCATGGAAATGGAAATGAGGGGTTCACTCGACTCAAAAAACATAGCAAAGGTATGGTAGATGAAGCTCAAGCTCATCAATTTCATCAAATAATGATTGCACATGTGACGTGTTAAAGTGAAATAATGCTCATAAAGCTCGTTCAATTCATCAACTTTTTTTGTTTACCCAAGACATGCCCATTCCCAGCCCGATTCCAGAGTACCTTGAACACCATCTTGTGGCAATTCAATCATGTTTCCCTCACCTCATCATTGCCGGATTCTTCTACATCCAGCCCTCCGAACTCATCGAGTGGGACACCATTGCGCCTTACTGTTGCTGCGTGATAGGAGCCGAAAAGGGAGTGAGGTAGTCGCCCTTGCCGATCTGAACGCCCTTGGCGCGGAGGATGCCGTAGGCCGTGGAAATGTGGAAGAAGAAGTTGGGCATTCCGTAGGCGACGAGGTAGTCGCGGGCCTTGATCTGCACCTCGCCCTTGCCGGAGCCGAGTCCAAGGGGCACGAGGGCATCGGTGCGAGCCTCGAATGTCTTGGGGTCGGCGGCCTTGACGATGGTAATGGTGTGCTCGACGCGCTGGCGCAGGTCGTCGAGGCTGGCAAACTCCCTGCCCAGGGCCTCGGGCTCGGTGCCCTGAACGCGGGCGACGATCTTGATGGCGCAGTCGGCCGCGACGAAGAACTGGAAGCTGAAGGGCAGCATGTCATCCGCCAGCTTCCAGTCGAGAATCTCCTTGGCGTCAATGGACTTTTCCTTGGCGTACTCCTCGGCCTTGGTGATGATGTTAAGGAGCGAGTTGAGACCCGCAAGGAGGAGGGGGACGGAGGCGTCGTACAGAGTGTAGGCCATGTTTGCGGTTGTTGGTGGATGAATGTTGATGTTGACGATTGGTAAAGGGCTGCGTTTATGGTGCTTCAAGACTTGCAAGAATGTCAATAGATCTGTGAGGGGCCAGAAGCTTTATATGTCCTCAGCAAGCCATCCACTTGACAGCAGAACGCAGTCCCACGAAAGAGCGGTGGAAGCATGAAGCGTTTGGAGCTGATCCAAAGCCCCTGACCTGGTGCAGGTAGCTGGTGATCGGGCGTTTCTGTCCAGTTCGACGGGCGGGTCTGCTTGACTAATGCGTCGGTGCGGGTTGGAGTGTTGTAGTACCGGGGAACTCAACACAGCAACCGTCATGCTCACATACCAATCTCACTCTGCAGCCCTCGTATAATGCTATTGAAACTCTGGCCCATCTGCGGCCCCTTGCGTTTGTGCGTGGGCACTCGCGCGGCCCATGCCGGGGCTTGTTTCTCAGTCTTCCACCTGATAGGCAAAGTTAGCTGATGACCTGCCCCCCATCGTGAGTGGTGAACGACTTACAAGGCCGGTCTTTACCACAGTATCCGGATACCCAGGCCGAGGGGTGCTACCTTGCTTCGGAACTCGGGCCAGAGAAGTGCCATAGCGAACAGCGCAGAAAGGGCGGCGGGGCCCAGAAACGGAGCGCCCGCTGACAAATGCCTCTTCCTCGTCTCACTTTGTCAGGCTTCCCTCACCCATCCTCCGCAGTACGAAGCCCGAGTCGCGGCAGCGGGCTGCGGGGGCCGAGTGGGAGAGCCACTGGCATTCCCGTCCTTGTGCATGTGCCTCGGGGCTAGTTGCATCCGAGCTGTTGCAGATCCTTGGTTCTAGTGGCACTGAGAGTCGATGCTTAGAAATCCAAACGGTCGCAGCCTGGTAGGACAGTATCCATCAAGGTGAAAGGATTCCAGTCGACTAGATATGTTCAGTAAAGGAATGAAAAGACCGATGTAGAGATACACTTCAAGATATGGGACATACAATTACTTCACGAGCCTCAGATGGCAGATCTGATATTAATCAAGACAAGAACCAATCGGGACTTGGATGTAGACAGCGGCCCCAGAAGCTTAAATGGACGAAGACACCTCGCACTCTGCAAATGAAGAGATGGGTTCGACATTCGTCATAAGGCTATGCTATGGCGTGCTTATCAAAGAGAAGCACTCAAATCTTGTAAAGCCATCATAAAATCATGCGCGTGTGTATGTGAGTGTGTCTGTGTGGATCAACCAGGCGGGAACTCTAAAGGTAGCCTATTCCCGGCAGAACCATGACACTCTTACGCTAGACCAGCAGTCAGATCCAGATTCAGTAGTGAAGACTACCGGCCGCTGAGCAGGACAACGTTGAACATATCTTCGAACCCGACCGAGTTGACTTGCCTTGCTTGATAATCAGTTTCGAAAAGGCCTTACGCAAGCATTCCAAGCGGGCTAACTCTTCCCCGCCACGTCCGGCCCGGCCCGGCCCAAACGAAGCCAGGAACACAAACTAAAAGATGTGTTGTCACATTGTGTTATGTTTTCTCTGCAGTCCTGGCGAAACACAACGACGAGTTTTGCAAAGGAAAGACCAATCATTCACTTCACTTCATTTTTCCCTGTCATTCCTTACTTTGTCCTTCTCGCCCGGGCTTGATGCTCTTCGTCGATGTGCTCCACAGCTTGAGGTCAAGCAGTCAATCTCATTGCAATAAGGTCGCCTCTGGACTAGATGATTTTACCAAATGTCTAGCGTGACGGTCAAACAGGCCCCCCCAAATGCATTTCGAGCAGGAGTCATGGGCGCTGCAAGCGTTGATCCAGCGTGTTTTTGTTTTCCTTTTTACTTTTCGTCGGCAGATTCCAACTTCAACCTTCACATAACTACTACTTTCAAAGATGTTTCTGCTCAGTCTCCCACTCCCGTTCCCAAATTTCGTCAACAATATCACCGCTGCCTTTGACACACTTCCAGTGCCCCATTCCGTACTCTTTCGGCGCTACTCGACAACCTCTCCCACCTCCACCCACAATCAAGTTTCCAGGTCTATACTTCTCGTCGCGCTCCATCCGTCGGATCACGCTTCCATGAATTCTGACTTTGTCCGGAACGTCCCGGACCTCTCCCCTTGGTAGTGGCCACCTGATTGGTTTCCAACTGCCATCTGGCCTAAGATCGAGTCTTCTAAAGGGGAGATACTCCATCACCCGCCACATGAAGACACTGGCACGATGCATGCCACATTTGAAGTCAAGCGAGTCGTGTATCTTGGCTTCGTGGGCTGTCTGCATCATCACGTTGAATGACAAGGCCGTGCAGGTGTGCGTTGATGTGCCCGAGTTTGCCGCGTTTTCTGTCGCGGAAGCGGTGGGCGATGGGGGCTGGAAGTCGATAGTAGGGGAAGGCGCATCGACGTGAATTTCCGGGACTGCGATGGCTCCGTTCGGCATAGTAGCCGTCGACTGTCTTGCAGTTCGCGTGTCTTCTCCGGCTACTGATTCAACACAGCCGAGGTACTCGAGCTGGTCGAGATCAAATGTCAACCCTGCTCGCATGGCTTCTCTCACCATCCACACGAGGGGTATGTGACTGGCATTCTTTTGGCCAGGAACGGCGTCCCATCCTCCGCCTATATCGCCATGCCCTCCGGAGAACCATACCTCATCAACGTCCTGGTCAGCTTCGTCGTCATCCGAGTCGTAGGTGAGATCTTCCATGGGTGGCTTGGAGTTGATAGACGAGGCATCGTGATCCGTATACGCGTTGCCTGTTCGTTCGGTTGCCCTAGATCTGGACCTGGAGCGACTACGGAAAGGAGCCGGATGGTCTGCATCTTCCTCTTGTGGATGCACTCGGCGCCTACCACGGTCTTCTTTCGCCACAGCGTCGTCAGGTGCAAGTGTTGATCGCCGACCTGGACGATACTTTTCTTGGAACTCCTGCACTTTTTCGTTCAAAGGGTGATGGTGCTCCATCAAGCGCTTGGCTGCAGTTCTCCTCCGAGACTTCTTGGGCTCTTGATAAATGAGATCTTGGCGAAATTTGGCACGTCGTTCATCAATACTGACAGCATGCCTGATGACTTTCGCAGAGCTTCGCGCAGTGTACGGGAACTTGCTCCGCTGCATCCATGCCGTTTCGAAGCGCGGCACGCTGTTCACGGTGTCGAACAATCCCAAAAAGCGGATTCGTCTTATCGGTCGCGAGAATGTTTCTCTGAAGCCTTTGAGAAACTCATACATCTTCTCTCTGTCTTCTTTGCCCTCCGGTGTTGAGTTCGTTCTTCTGCATTGCCATTGTGAGAATGAGTTCCACGCGAAAGCGACCATTTCCTCGTTGCCATGGGCAAGTAGACCAACAAAGTCCAACATCTCAGCCAGGAACCTAGCAACATAGGCACCTCGAGAGAAGCCAAACATGTAAATGTCGTCTCCTGGCGAGTAGTACCTCATCAAGAATCTGTAGCCGCCCACAACGTGCTGGTCAAATGACGAGCCGACTGCAGAGTCCTTGGCCATCTGGTACCAGGACTTGCATTTGGCTCTGAAACCATTGTGCGTTAAATTTTCTGAGACAACATATGTCCCTATGCCGGCTGTAGGAATACGTATCCTTAGTGACATGAAGTGTAAATGCAAAGGTGGCAGCACTCACGTTGATAGTAGTGGTCTATAACCTCTGTCAGCCTCGCCATCCCGAAGACGATTAAATGAATGATGTTCAAATCTCACATTGATCATTTGCGTTGCTGTCGAGCATGCGGAAAATTTTGAGAATATTGCTGTCGCTGTCATCTCCACGAAACTTATTACCGGTACCGTCGAAGCATAGGATCAACTTTCTACGGCCACCACCGTGCGAGCCTCCCCTACAAGTTCCGTTGGCACATTGGCCACTTATATCTGGTTGATGTCGACTGTTCCTTGAGGGATCGCGCAAGTAAGCCTGCATTGTTAGATAGGGAGAAAAAAACGCAAGATGAAGGAAGACTTTGTCCGAAACGTAACGAGAGTCTAATGCTCCTGGTAGGTGTTGGATCAAGGTTGTCCTTAGTGTTGGCGAATATCAAATGTCATATACAACCATCTATGCCACAGAAACCTTGGCACGACGACTAAGATTGAGACATTTTGTAGCCCGTTACGTATGGACTGAATGACAATGTTTACCCAGGAAATCTGTCTGTTTCTGACTAACGACCAGCGTGAGGTGCAAGCGGATGATTCGGACCTGATCTGCGTAACCAAGCCGAACTTGGAACTCTGTTCCACTCACGCGGCTAGACAACATGCCGAATTAGTAGATTGGTATGCCGATTCATATGCCCTACTTTGGTCAAAATTTCTCAACCTCGCAAGTCGGCGAATCAGCAAGAAAATTCAGCAGAGCAGGTCCGGCATCGGCTGCAGTCTCTAAGGGTCACCCAGCTTCTGCCTCATGAGATCAGCTTGAGACAGGTCTAACACTCGTGCTCAAAAGAGAAAAGACAATAATGAAATACGGCAAGCTCGGACAGATACTTGAGGCTTGCCAAGGGGGAGTTCCTGGAGTAGAGTGAGACATAGCCGATTTCCATATCTGGATAGTAAGGGAGATATGTTTCGACCTTGGCAGTCCTCGAGATATGACACCAGAAGCGGAAAGTGAAATCACGAATTACGCCCTTGTTTCGGACGCGGTTGTTCCGAGACCTGCTTAGACGCCCCATTGCCCAACTGCATATGCCTACGTGTTGCCAAATCCCTGGGGAAACATGTGGGTATGCGATAAGGCGCGAGACATGAGTGCGCCGAGTCTCACAAACTGTTCTGGCATCCCGTGCAAGACAGTCAAGGCAGTCCATGTGAGTAGCTAAAGCACCTAAGGATAGGATCGACTCGATATTGATGGCGCATAACAACTATTGCCTGATCCGCAAGTAAATCATTACTGAGACACAGCCGATCGTTCGTAAATCTCTTTTAAAGTTCACTTTCCCACCATCATTTTGCGCCAAGGAACTCAAGTTTACATAT